GATCGAATTTTAGATTTGTTCTTAAAATTCTGGAGTTTTTGCGACAAGCAGTGTTCACTAATGGGTAGTTGTATGTCGTATTGTCCGAAGTTAAAAACATATATGTATTAAAAATATTAATGTTAGATAATGACATTAAACTTACTAATATGACATCTAATCTTGAAGTACTTACTTATTTAATATAACTTTTTAAATTATGTCAATAGTTTTACTTTATTAGTATATATTGAAGTATTTACATATTAATAATTTCCGCCGTTTATTCCGAAAACTTAATTTAAAGATGTTTAATGTTTAAGCATTTATATTTAACTTTTTTTAATTAACTGGTGTGGTATACAAATCTCATAACTAGTAAATAGCATAAAATAGAATTTTTATAAAGGTTTTCTAGTTGGATAAATTGAAGGATAATGTATATGTAATATGCAGAAAGTAAATACTCTTATTGATAATCACTCTACAAAAGATGTTTAATTTGATTTTTTCAAATAATAAAATAATGACACAAACAACATTATTCTCAGTCAATCATAACTAAGAAAATGAACACACAGAATACCAACTATTTTATAACTATCGATGCTTGAATATAATGATGAATAAGCATTTATACCCTATTAGAGATCGACGATCGACTTGGGTAACCATATTATATATAATAATAATTATTATTATTATATTATAAAATAAATTTTAGGGTTAATGAAAGTGCTTTTTGTCTTTTTAATGAAAGTTATTTCTACTACAATATGAAAAAAGGTTTCTTTGTAGATGTTTGCTATTCACCAATGTTATTATTATTATTATTATTATTATTATTATTATTATTATTATTATTATTATTGAATTATGTTGCATTTAATGCTCAACTAGTATAGGTGTCCATCCTTTGCATAGATTGGATATGAATTACATAACAAAAGCACACAATGCAATTTTAATACAAAAAATGAAAGACTCTGAAGAAAGTAAAATGCCTTTTAAGTATCTCAATAACATCCGAATTCCTTTGAAGATCATCTCTTTCTTTCTCTCCTGATACCAAGTGACTACATACAAAACAAAAGCTCGTTTGCTTGAAGGTTATGCCTACTGAAATACAACCCCATACACAATTAAATTACCAAAAAGGGTAAAAAGAAGAAGAAGAAGAAGAAGAAGAAGAAGAAGAAGAAGAAGAAGAAGCTCTCAAGTAGGTTTACATCAAAAAGCTTATAAAACCATCACCAAAATACAACTCTTCATTCTACCCAATTAATCCTTGTTCAACCTTACCTAATCCCTCTGATATTGTTATATTCGTTACATTTAAAAGTTGACATACCTTATTATATAATGTGGTGAGATCCATCTCATGAAATAGGAGGTATTCTACCATCAACACATACAGGAAGAGCATATTTGTCACAGTAAGTTTAATCACATTTAGACAGTGTGTTCGTACAAAAAAGAAACAGACTTGTGAAGAAGAAAAGTCGGTGTAATAACATCAAATGTAATAATAAGAATGATATGGAAACCTTTGAAATTAAAATAATAATAATAATAATAATAATAATAATAATAATAATGAAAAGCTATTCCAACATATCAAAAGAAGACTTTAAATTCATAGTTAAGATTTAAGCAATAATGTAATATCAAAAAATATATAAAAATAAAAAAATAAAGGAAATGGGGCAATCAACCGGTGAATACTCCGCATGTATTGCCTCCAACTTGCATTTCTTCTAATTACTTAAAAAGTCTACCCATAGATAGAACTGTTACAGTGACGGATACAGGTCTTTCAAGTGGGGTGTATGGCCCTACTTGATAGTGGCTCCCACCATATTTTATACTAAAAAAACCTCCAAAAATTTTACTTTTTTTTACTAAAAGTCCCTCCTTGGCAACCACTTATACAGAAAATACCCTCATTGATATTTGTTTTTATTGAAAAAACCTCAAAAATACTTTGCATTTTCAGAATTTTCCACTTTTATACATTTTTTATGTATAATGGACCCCGTTTAAGTTTTGTTCTGGATCCGCCACTGACTGTCTACCCTTATATGCTAAGGAATGACAAAAAAAAAGTGTATATTATTTAAACAATTGGTTGCATATCTTTAATTTGTTTTTTCTTTGTAGTCATTTTACCTAGAGAGGAACCAAAAATGTTAGAAATACATCTAATAAGGACATTGATTGTTAAAAAAAACAAAAAAAACAAAAACAAAAACAAAAAATATATATCGACCAAAATGAAAAATGAAATATACCAATACGAAAGAGATGTAGACAGTTTTTGCTCCAAAGGTATTTTAGAAAACTTGGTTGGTTTTTGTATGTGGTATTTGAATTCTAAACAATTTTTAGTCAAAGGGTATTTTAGGAAACTTGTCTTTTTATGTAGTATTTGAATTTGATTCGGTTTTCTTTTCCACTAGCCATAGTAGAGTAGGTTTCCTTTGTGTTTATAATAAAAATAGGTTCGTGTGGATTGAAGTTTTTAACTCTTTTACCTTTGAAAATAAGAGTATTCTTCCGGTATATTTTTGTTTCCCCCTTTTTCTATTAGAACTTAGAGGATCAGATCCTAAATTTTTTATTAATATCATCTATGACACACTCTCTTTTGAGTATTTGGAACATAACATACCGTAAAGAAATGTTGTAAACTGGTACCTACTTTTTATGAATTTAACAAAACAACTTGTATGCAAATATATCCAACAAATAAAAAAAAACCCATTCTGTGTGAAAAGAACACAGAAACACCAAAATACAAATGAGAGAACCAATAAAAGAATCACAGCTTTATAATCTTTTTCTATGATTACGTTTTACTAAAAAAACGTTAACCATATTTATAGGTAATATTATTAAAGTTGGAAACTTAACATGAAGTTTTACTAAAAAAGGTAACGATATTTATATGTAATTTATTATTGAAGTTGGAAACTTAATATGAAGTTTAATGTAACACGACACCAACAAATATTACATATACCAAATTTAATTGTCATCAATATTGTATTCACAAATCTTTAATAACAACTCAAATGTGCATTCAAAATAGCAGAAAAAGTACATGGGATGGAGATTCTCAAACTTGTACAACATTTTTCTGAATTTTTAAACCCTAAGCAAAAAAATAATTACACTTCAGTACAACAATAATCAAATATAAATATTAGAGTTTAATCACATGGCAGTTGGTATTGATTACACTCTTCCTGATTATTCGGTCAATATGAAGTTCTTGTTTAAACAGCATACAAACGCACATTATTACCTCTCTTTTATAAAGCTAGAGAACGCGAGCCACTCAAACCAATTTGAGGTCCCTGTTAATTCTCAATGGATACAATCTAAGAAAAGCAAACATTCAAAGTACTATAGTTAAATTGCTCTAATGATGAACACATACATAGTTTTCATTAACCATTCGTATTGGTCAAGGTCTGGAATAGGAACCTCAGACATCAAGGTCGTAAGCGTAAGCGGAAGACAAAAGAGTGGTACCAAAACACAATTTAAAATTGAAGCATGGAAAGAACTACTAACCTCTTCTGAAGAATCGAAGTCACCGGAATCGAAGCAGGGGAATCAACAGTCGGAGGAACCCTATTCTGAAAAGAGAAAAGAAATGAGAGAAAGAAGATTGTAGAGATGGTAAGGAAAAGCATTGGAAGACGTAAATCATGTTAATATATCGTTTTAAATTGAGGATTTAAGCTTCACCGTACATGGACAGAATGACCGCCACCGACAATACCTTCTTCGTCCTTTATGTGGTCGGGTTCTTTTCCACCAATGAGAATATAGAATATAGTTTATTTAGCAAATAACCATATTTGGAGGTGTGTTATAACCCTTTGACCATGAAAATTAAAGTTTTGAAAAATGTTCACAAGATCTTTAGAGGGTGCTCGGATCAATTAGCTTCTAAGGATGGATGCATACCTTTGCGAAAATGAGCTGACATAGCTAAACGATAATTTTTTTCGGGGTTTTAAGGATCCGCAGAGGCGTCTCTGTGGATCTTCTATTTGCTATGCGGATTCTTTATTGCTCTGCGGATCTTCTATTCCTCTTTTACTCGAATGCAGAATGAGACTAAGGCAGTCGTTTCGTGGTAGGAAGCTGCGGACGTCGATTCATGATCGGAACGGACACAAAAATGTTGAGGCGAGCTCGATTTGTTGAGCAACTGCACTCCGATGTGTTATCCGATGGATATGGAACTCAAGTAATATTTCAATTTTTTTTTTCTAATCTTTGTATAAACTTGGAAGTAGAAATTGATTATATGAATTCGAAATTGATAGGTTAAATGTTATATATAAACATGTATGTTTGTTAGGGTGTAAGGATTGGAGTTTGTGAAATAAGAAATCGATTTATCCTATTCTTTTCGTTATGAACAGATCTGCAGAGGTCCTCTGCTCGAGAGCAGATCCGCAGATGAGCCCTTTGCGGAACGATATATGCCTTTGCGGAAATGTAGCTTTCTTTCGATTTTCTATAATTATTATCTCCTAAAATGGACCATTTAATATTGAGATCATTTTATATTGATTATATATAAATTAATATTAAAATCGATTTCCAATTAATTCTGTAATTTATAAAAAACATGAAAATTCTATAATTATTATTAAAATGGACCGTTTATGTAAATTTTATAATATATATAAGACCATTTCTGTAAAATTCTATAAATTTGTTATAAAAAAAAAGGACAGTTTATTTTGAAAGATAATTATTCATCGTAGACCATTGTATAAACAATTATAGAATAAAAACTTTATTTTTGTTGCATAAAATTGTTAAAAAAAAACAATATATACAAATACAATGTTATAAAAATAAAAGTATATTGCTATTTAAAGTTACTTTTCAGTATTAGAGGGGTGTTGCAAACTATATTTAAAAAGTACATTACGAAACTAAATAGTAGGCGAGTTGAATTACTTCGAGAGACCGCTTTTAAGATGTTCATTGGTATGCCCACCTTGAATGGTGACTCGATGCTTTGTATTTTGATGATATTGCATGAGGTTCGTGATGTAGAGGTAGCCAGGGCTGGGAAGTTTCGGTTCGAGTTACAAGGCAGGGTGGTTGAATATGGTGAAACGAAATTTTGTTTGATTAGCTGTTTGAGATTTGGACCGTATGTTGATATAAAAAATACAAAAGTCACCACAAGTTCAACATTAAGGAATCGGCTGTTCCCTAGTGTGAAAGATGAAGATTTACGGATGAAAGATTTAGAAGAGTATATAAAAGGGCTAGCATTCTCGACGTGTAGCGATGAGGATGCGATAATGGCTATGCAAATGATGTTTTTGTTGAGGGGTCTCATAGGACGAGACAATAATACGTGCATTCTGCCGGCAATGTATGAGCTAGCCGATAGTCAATATTATTGGAATAGGTATTAAATTTTTTATTTATTATTTATTTATAAATACTTGATGATTTATATTAATTATAATGAGTACGACAGGTTTGTGTGGGGTATGTATTTGTGGATGTATAGTGAAACACAATTACGATTATGGTTTGGTAAAATCTATAGATATTTACGTGATAATGAGAGTGTGGGCTACGCGAATATGATGAAGTATACAGTTACCGGTTTTCAACTTCCGTTTAAGGTTAGTTTTACGTGCAATTACTTATATTTTTTAAGTGCTTATTGATGAGTTTTATACAAAACAAACAATCCTATGTGTGTATGCAACGCCAATTTGAGGATCTATGTTTTCACTATTAGACATACAAACATTGAACACAAAAACTAGAAACCCTAGGAGGAACATGTAATTTTCAAAATTAACATATACTTAGGGTTAGGATCCATACCTTTATTGTTATATTGTAATAACAATCAAATCCTTGAAGATCTTGAACTTTGGTAGCAAACACCACAAGTGTCACGCCTCTAATGGCTCACAAACAAACCTAGCAACCAAGGATTACTATGGAGAGAGAAGGGAAATGGAAAATTCGGCCCTAGCCTATCTCGGAGTGCCCTTAGATGAAATCCAACCCTATAAGGGTTTATATAGGTGATAAGGAAGGTTTAGGATATGGCAGGTGTATCTTAGATAATCCTAATCCCTTAACTTCCTCCCTAAGGCTTTCAAGGCACCCTTAGAGCCCAAGGAAACCCTAGGACACTCTAGATTTTGTTCCATCCCTCTAAGGGAGGTTCTAGAATGTTCAATGCTCTACTTTTGAGCATTGTCACCTTTAGTCCCTGTAGTTTCAATTAATTCCTTTAATTTCCAAATTAATTCCAAATTAATTTATGATTAAATATTAATTAAACAATATGATTTCTAATTAATATATTATATCCATAATACATTAATAAATTAATTTAATAACCAAGTAATAAATTAATAAATCATTCTTCTCTCTCCAACAATAATCCTATTCAATTGCTAGGTTTGAAGGCAACCCAAAAGGACATTGCTATTATCAATTCAAGTACATACCAATTATAGTTATGGGCTTAGATATCTAATCCAACAGTCTCCCACTTGGATAAGTCTAATAACTATAGTTGTAAGTATAACTTCAAAATTAACTAGCAAATTTTAGCTACCAAAAGCTGCTGTCGAACTCTGATCTTATCAGTGACGTGTCCTTAAGATAAGGGATCATATATCCCGCCATTCTAGATATCGTATAGACTGAGACATGGATTTTAATCATTCTCTCTGTCTATGTATTGTTTCCCGATTTCCGATTTATGACGACTGACAACAGACTACAATTAAACACATCAACTTAGTCTCGGCTTGACCCAACGCTTACGTGTCATCACTAAATCATGGAGGGGCCCACATATATCGTTTTTATCCACTTGGGTAAAAGGAACGGATAAACTTTGACTCCAATGCTCACTTGTATCTATTCATCAAATCACATACAACAATATGTTTTCTGGTACGTTTAAATATTATCAATGTGCAATGGACTTGCAGAATACAACTCACATGTATCGGTTTCAAGAATATAAGATATTATCGTATCACCAATCACTCATGATAAAATCCATGAAGAGACCCAAGTGAGCGTGTGTTTAATCCAATACTCTAATCTTATAGCATCACTCAAGAACTCTATAGCAAACTTGTGCTATGTCTAAACACTTTAGACAATCTACAGACGGATTCATGACAGTCTTCATTCATACCTACTTCCAAAGTATGAGCGACCGTGGAGGGTTTGAATAATCTTATTATTCAGGAAGTCAAAACATGCAAAGTGAAACACAAGAATAATACTAATCCTATATGGCCCCAAACCTTTGAGTATAAATAAAACATTTTTTATTTAATCACCATATTGATTACTCATTATTTGTTGTTTCGGGTAATCAACTTCTTACGTGAATTATAACAACAGTTGTCCCATGCACACTATGGAAATATTTTCATATTTACCATATGACAACTCATTCTAAATAGAATATTGTCTATTCATAATAATGTTAATATGGTCCATCCATTAGTATACTTCCAACTGCTCACAATCGACCAATCCTTGGCGAACCTTAGATTGTCCTTGACAGTTGTTTAATTATTTTAGTTAAATTCGGTTCTAGTCCTTTTTCCCTCTAAATGCACTAGACATTTGGAAGATTTTAGAACAGTCAAATATTACAGCAAATGCAATCGATACTATACCCGAAGCGTATGGGACACAATTCATAATGAAAAACGTGATACTTTACCAGTTTCTTGCTATAATATTGCCATATATATAGAATTCCTTTATGTTGAATCTTTTCAACATAACATCCATATATGTCCTTTGACTAAATTAAAATTTCTCGATCTAAGCTTTTAGATTTGAAACGAAGTATAACATTCTCTCCCTTAATTATAGCAAAACAACTTTTCAACCCCTGCAACTTTGCAAAGTGAAACTTTTGCTTTCTATAATTAATATTGCCAACCTGCAACACTTAAAATAATAATAATTCTCCCACTATCATGATGATTATATCCATTCCAGCATAACATTTGTGCTTCCACTAGCTTTGACACGTATTCAGAAATCAGTTAAACTTCTGGAAAACAATACTTATTGACTTCCAAAGTTCATCTTTTCTAATACGATATGCTTCGATAAGCCTTTGTCTAAGCTTCTCAAACTCATACACCTTTCCTTAGATAACTCACATGTGTGTCTAAACTAATTCAAACCTTATATTACTAAGTCCCAAACGTTCAGACTAATCGCCAAATCTCACAATTCGAACTATGGAGAGGGATTCTGTAATCATAATCGAATTTGAGAATGCAATTTACATAATCGCTATCTCCTTAAAATCTCTCTTAGTGAAAGTGTTTCCTCATAATCATTTTCATGAAGGAGAGAAACCTTATGACACTTAGATTTTATGGTGTATGTGTTCCTATCCATGTGAATTTGTCATAACCATCATCGTAAGATAATGTTCATGACAAATCCAAACTCACATGGACAAAACTCGTTCATACTTGATTTCTTGCCAGCAAGGGTCCCACCATTGCTTCCCGGTTATTTAGTAGTTCACCTATACCTATCAATGTTCTTTCATTGAACAAGGTGCTTGCCTTTATATAATCTATTGAGAACAACTCGTAGAATTCATATGCGTAGTTTACTAAAATGGAATGGCTCATAAACAAGGATATGTGTGACATCCCCAAAATCACGACCAGAAAAGTCCGGTTTCATTTATGCTTTTAAAATAGTTTAAGAGTAAATCCATTGATTTAAAAGAGTTGGGAAATTTGTTCCCAAAAACAAAATATGATATAATAAAGTTTGTTAAAACATTTCATAAAGAGATGCATTTTCATTATATAACAATATTCGGGATGTCATGTTCCGATAAACAGACCAAAAGCATAAACAACAAAAGATAGACCATACAAAAGTTACATATAACAAATGGTCTAATATCAAAAGATCTTGTTAAGTCATCCAACTTATGCTCTCGTGCCACCACCTGTAATACAACAAAACTGAGTGGGCTAGGCTTGGGAGCCTGGTGAGCATATAGGGTTTTCAACCCACAATGAATAATTATATTTAATTTCATCAACCAAGAATAACCGGATTACCCATTCCCATTATCCTCACTTTACGTCCCTAAAACAATATCTATTACAAGGGACCTAATCTAGGATTTTCATCGGGACGAACATTACTGCAAGGGGTTTCCTCAACAATAGATTTCCTAAAGGCAACCATGAGGGGATAGATGTCACACCCCAAAACCATAAAATGGCGGAAACGTTCTGGGGCGGAGGACGTCATGTACAGTATCACAACAATGAAAAGTAGTAAACAAGCAACAACATCATCCATTGCATTAATAATATAATTTTAATACAAGTGTGTTCTGTCAAATTATAATAAACACTAAAGTATAAATCAAAATGAAAGATGAGTCTTGCACGAGCTCCATCTTCTCTAAACCTTGCATCGGTACCTGTCTATGGTTGACCTGAGGATACAAGTTATTTTGGAAGCGAGTATGAGCTTTAAAGTTGGTGAGATCATAAGTATTTTAGTGTCTTAATTTGTATGTAAGTAATTGTATGTATATGAATTATAAGTATTGAAAATGTAGATGAACTGTAAGTATGAAAATGTTTGTAAAACAACAGTAAACGTTTGAAAAACCCTAGAAATCCCTATGATTCCTACTATTATAAAAGGGAGTCTTCTACCAAGACTTAACTATTCTAAATGTAGCCTTCTACGAAGGCATCTAGTGTCTGTGTGTGTGTCTCTAGTAAGAGTGTGTATTTTCCCACTATCATTAACCAAAAATATAGTTTCTACATTACCGTGCATCGTGTGAGTGTTCACGAAGTGAATGTAATGGGAAAATGAAATAGTACTATGGTGTAGTGTCGAACTACAACCGTACCAATTACCTCAAGTCTAGGGTAATTCTTCTAAGTACTGTAGTATTTGTAATAAATAACTACATCGGTACTCCTATTGCCTTATTTGAGGGATAAGGTATAATGTGACGGCTAGATCCCAGGCTGGACGCTCCCCTGTCAAAGGGATTTTGGTACCTTTACACACCCATGCATATATGCATGCCGTGACACATCCACATTACTATGATCATGTATACCCGATATAACTATCAAAATGTGACATCCCCAAAATCACGGTCAGAAAAGACCGATTTTGTTTATGCTTTATAAAAATCAGAGTACTTCATTTTATAAAAAGGTTGCGGAATTTGTTCCCAGAAAAACATGGTAAATACGTTATGAAAACATTTTCGAAGAAACGTATTTATTTCATTTTAAAACGTTTGGGATGTCATCGTTAATACAGGAACATAAGCATAAACAGAACTTACAATTATTCACACTAGTGGTCTACATCTCTTTAAATCTCTCAGTGTAATGTCACTAATATCAACACCTGTGATATAAATAAACTGAGTGGGTCAAGTTGGGAAACCTGGTGAGCACATAGGGATTTCAATCCCACAATGTTATACCATATATATAGTTTAAAATTCACAAAATATACAATTTCACCATACATATATATAAACAACTCTTATCCCACCCCGTCGATCCTCGCAACGAGGCTATCCATACTCTCGGACCTAAGATTAGTCGTTTTACCTACTCCATACTCTCGGATCAGAAATGAACGAATT